ATCAATGAATGTGCAAACATTAGCGCAGAGACACTTATAAATGTCGGATTGTCTTTCAGACACAGAGTTGCAATGTGCATTAGAAACAACGGACATTATTTCGAACATTTGCTTCAATGAAACACTTGTGAGAGGCAAGGGGACTCACAGTAATCAAGCACCCCGAAATAGTGAGAGGCAAGGGGACTCACAGTAATCAAGCACCCCGAGATAGTGAGAGGCAAGGGGACTCACAGTAATCAAGCACCCCAAAGGGAACAAATTACTACTACGTCCACGTCGTTGTTCCTGGGTAAAGCTAAAAGTAGTCTAAGAATGCATTGCAGGAGGGTAGACGGCGTCACATGATAGCATTTTCAAAAATATCAAAAAATTTACTTTGATGTTCCTGATCTGATGTGTATTTTTTTGAGATATTACCATTTTTCAACAATTTTCAACTCATTTTCATTTTTGCCGATTACAGCGCCATCTATCATGAAACGAAAAAAATGTCTCATACAAAAGTTACATATTTTTTCACGGAGAATCCAAATCTGCAATAAAAAATAGGGGTTTCTATTTAAGATTTCAAAGTCACCCCCCTCCCGCCCCCGGAGGTGGTGCAGGGGGGTCGAGCTTTATGTTAATGGATGTCCTCTTTGAGGTGAACAACTTTTATTGCAACTTTTTTAAATCCGATTTGTATTTTTCCAAATATTCTGAAAAACAGTTTTAAATGCTTCACCCTGTATATGCTATGTGGACGCTTATGGAAGATTTTTATTTACAACAGTATTTAACATTCTAGAATTATTTCTGAAGTAAGTTTTATACATAAAATATTTATATAAAATATTTACAGTATTACAACTATGTCCTGAAAAGATCCCAGGACATCCCGGGACATATTCAGGATGATCCTGAGGACGTTCTGTACTATCTGGGTACTGTACTCGTATGTTTACGGTTTCTGACGGTAGTGCTACTGCTGCTGTTGAAGAATACCGTCGACGCTTCCCTACACGCAGAATTCCGAATCGTTAAGTGTTTTCCAAGGTTTTCAATACGTTGCGTGAAAGTGGAACGCTTCCCGGTGTTCATGTTTTATCTGAACGAGGACGTCAACAAAATGTGCTCTATCTTAGAAACAATGGGGAATGGGACATATATTCATATGAACATTTTTGCTTAAAATGACCGATACTATCACTTCCCAGAATATTGACCTTTCCTCCTGGGACACCCTATATATAATGATAAGTGAGCAATTTTTGTAATTTATAATTATACATAACTTTTCCAGTCAGAAATATCTCGACGATCGACGTCGAAACGACGTCATATGGGCATCAAAACCGTCATATTGACGTCGTTCGACGTCGTTTCGACATCGATTGACGAGTCATTTCTGACTGGGTTGTATTATACAATTGTACACGATTATTTATGTATAATTATAAATAAGCAATTTTTCTCATAAAAGTATGCATAATTCTATAAAAGTATAGATGACTGTGTTATAGAAATAAAATTATATAATTTTATACAATTCTACACAGAAATATACAATGTAAATATATGTATGGACATATTTGATGTATATTTTTATTCATGTTCATGCATGAAACATTTTTACCGGGAAATAATGTTAATAATACATTAATCATGTAATACATCTTATTATACTATTCATATTAAATGGTAAAATCAAAATAATTTGAAAACTTAGATTTACATAATTTCCCCACACAGCACAAAGCTCCGATTAAGCTCCCAGGGAGTTCATTTCGCTGAGCTCCCGGGAAGCTTATAAAATTCGACAAAACAAGCTTCCAGGGAGTTCATTTCGCTGAGTTCCCGGGAAGCTTACAAAATTCGATAAAATAAGCTTCCAGTAGCGCGATTCTGTAACTCGTTATGTCGTCGTTACGGGCTTTGCGCAGATCTAATATACCGTAGAAAAGCTGCGCAAAGCCCGTAACGACGACATAACGAGTTACAGAATCGCGCTACAGGGAGTTTATTTCGCTGAGCTAAAGTACCTGTAAGATTTTTATAGAATAAGAATTACGTTGAAATTTAGTAACATTATTCAGTATTTTTTACATATCGAATTATGTAATATACGAATGAGAAAAACATTAATATTACATAAAATGTGACTGATTATCCTGGTATATGGTGTCTTGCATTTCATCGGGGTAGCACTCTGTACTATATGTCATATTAGGTGTACCTTTTTTTCAGCATTTTGCTACAATCTTCCCCAAGTGTCCAAGGTGACATGTCGTACTTACCTGTCGTATGTCGTACATTTTAAAACATGACTTCTCAACTCCCTGCGAGCTTAAATAAAGCTCTCCGGGAGCTCCTATGTCCGCTTTTATAAGAGCTCCTTAGGAGTCTTATTTAAGCTCCCTGCGAGTTTAAATGAAGCTCCCCAGAAGCTCCTATGTCCGCTTTTGAGAGCTCCCTGTGAGCTTTATTTAAGCTCGCAGGGAGCTTAAATAAAACTCCTAAGGAGCTCTCAAAAGCGGACATAGGAGCTCCCAAGGAGCTCTGTGCGAGTTCGTTTGAAGTTCAAGTTAAGCTTATGAAAAATTTTAAGAGCTCCCCAGGAGCTCTCTGGGAGTTCCCCGTGCTGTGTGGGTCATCTCTCTTTCTCTTCCTTCTCAAACAATTTTCGGTAATTCTTCAATATAGCTACTCCACCTTCCAAAATCAATCAAATTGGTCTCATTCGACGCGTTTTTCAACGAGAAGCAACTTTTTCCTCAGTCAAAATCGTAGCTCTGTCTCGCGAAGCGAGATATTAATTGTTAAAGTTGTGACAACTTTTAGGATTAGGAAATCTGTCATACCGACGAAATGTAGCGACACAACATGGGTTTGCGACTTTCCACGTGAAGCGAGATCCACTCCACACCTCGGAGTCTCGGACATCTCATACAGCACAGATGGTTGCAGTTACATTGCAGAAACGTTGCAATCTTACAGATTGCAGTGCAATCTTGCAGAGACATTGCAGGGATATAAAATTGCAAACTTTCGATAGCAATTATATTGCAGCAATGTTTCAAAAATAATAAAAATACTATATTTTCTATTTAAAAAAATTTTTCTAATTACGAGAATTTTATTATGTTATTTTCGCTGATACCAATAATGCGCGAATTTTGAAGTACTTGATCAGTGCGGTGTTGCTCGCAATCTCCATCTATTGCGAAGCGACATAATCTCCTTGGATTGCTTCGCAATAGCTTGCTGTGTATTGAAAAAGGCCCGGATGCATATGTAATTAGTAAATTCTCTGCTTATGTACAACAACAAATTATTCCAAAAATATTGCACTGCAACATTGCTATAATGTTGCATTGCAATCTCTCTGAGGGCGGACATTTCAACGTTGCTGCAATCCTCCAGAAACGTTGCAGCAATGTTGCGCAACGTTGCTGCAATATTGCAATCTTGCAATGTAACATTTCTGCAATCTTCCTGCAATCTTTCTGTGCTGTGATGCATCGCGGCAGCATCGCGACGCAGCCTGACGTACAGTCGTACACGTGCGCGCAAGTGCGTCGCGCATGTAACCGTTCCTCTTTCACGTGGCTTAAATTTTCACTGGCCTCGCCTTCGCTCTCTCGCATATCGCGGCTACTGGTCGCGATAGCCGCCGACGCCCGACGATAACGACAGAGACTTGCGGCTGTCACGTGCGGGCGTGCTCAGGTGACAGCTTCAGCTCGCTTGAAATCCCCCGGCGAACTCGCGGCCGCGGCACGTGGAGCGGAGCCGCTACGCTGCGGGCGACGGCGGGCACGGCGGCGGCGGCGCTACGGGGCGGCAACGACGGTAGCGGTGGTGGTCGCGGTCGCAGTGGTATGAGTGCGCGATTTCGGGAAATTAATGTCGCGCGTCGCCGGGAGGAGGGAGAGACCGTCGAGAAGCCGAGCGAGGCCGGGGAGAAGGTGAAACCGGTGAAAGTGAGTCTTTGTCGCGGCCGTGGCGGCGAACGGTGCATAACCTAAAAATAAAAAATATATATATATATCTCTCTTTTTCCCTCCCACTCGCTCGCTCCTCGCCGCTGTACCGCCTGCCTGCGTCCACTGCTGTCGCGCGCGCAGTACGTCGTGTGTGCCGTTTGTAGGATCGTCGCGCGCGGCTCCAGTCGCCGCAATCCGGTCGCCGTCGCGGAATCGTCCCGTGCTCGCTGCTCGCCGCGTACGCCCGCTCCGGGGACGCTCCTCCCCGACATGACCGCGCCGTGCCGGCCGCGGGGGACGTGCTCGCTCGACAACGAATGACTTCGCGGAAAGGCCGCCGGCAACGTATGGAGAATATGGACACCACGGACAACGAGCCGACGCGGGAGCAGACCGTGCCCGACAGCACGGTGCCGCGGAAGTCCTGGTCCGAGCTCCGCGCCGTCGTCAGCGATCTCAGGCGGAAGCTGTCCGGGGTGTCGGCCGGCTCCGTGCCGAGCTCGATAACCTTCCGCTCGCTCCCGGACGGCCGGTGAGGGAAAACGGCGGCGCGTACCTGCCACCCGGCTTGCGCGTGCCGAGATTAACGCTTGCACTCCCCCCCCTTTTGCAGGACTAGAATCTATTTCCTGAGCACGCCGAGTAACGGCTGGGAGACCACACTTTTGTACGTAGACATTGCGCACGCGGATCACACCAACGGCCTCCGGCTGCCCTGGCAGCCTGTCATAGAGGCGAACTTCCAAAGGTAAGCACTACGCTAGACTGACGCGCCATTGTATTATCCAGGAACGATTGTCACGCGATGATTTTAGCGTATCGAGCACGAACAGGCTGTCGAAGGAGGAACAACTTCTGTGGGAGAGAAAGCGACTTGCCACGTGGGGTATAACCAGCTACGAGATCCACGCAGAGAGCGGGAAATTAGTCTTTCCAGCTGCCAGCAGTCTTTATCAATGCGTGGACACTGGATTCATGGTAATACCGGTAATATTGGTGTACGGGTCAGTGGAAAGAAAGTGTTTAATCCATGTGTCTTCCCGTCAGCCCGGACCCCTTTTTCCGTCGGAGATTAGAATGTCGACGACCGGGGCGAAACTGTGCCCCCAGATCTGTCCCTGGAATAACGCTCTGATCGCTCACACGTGTTCGGGAGATCTGTACCTGTCTCACAGCATCACAGGCTCCTCGGTTCGATTGACTCACGCTAGGAAAGGCGGTAGAAGCCTCGCCGACGATCCGCTCACCGCCGGCACGCCTTCCTACGTCATGCAGGAGGAATTTACTAGGTTGATCCCTTTTTTTTGTCGAATAACCGCACGCTGAAGTCGCGAAAATGAAGGAATCGGTCCTGTCTGTCGCAGGTACATCGGCTATTGGTGGCAACCGAAGTCCATGTTCGACGGAATCTACAGGATAGTATACGAGGAGGTGGACGAGAGCGACGTCAAGATATATTGCTTCTCCTCGTCGAATTCCGACGAGGTAGACGAATTTAGGTTTCCCAGGGCTGGTATGCCGAACGCCAGAAGCAACCTGAAAATGGTGCAGTTCCGTCTGACGGAATCGTTGCATATCGTCGATATCGAGATACTGGAACTGCAATATCCACTTCACATTATGTTCCCGTGGATGGAATATATGGTGAGAGTCGGATGGACTCCGGACGCCCAATAGTAAGTTCGAGGCGGGATTCAAGCGGTACGGCGATCTTGCGTTAAACGCGAGCCGATAATGTTACTTTGTTAAAATGTAGCGTTTGGGTACAACTGCTGGACAGAAAGCAACAGAAACTGGAGCTGGTCCTGCTGTCGATAGACAACTTTTGCGAGCCGCCGCCGAACACGTACAACACGGAAAACCATTTCACGTCCACGTCAGCGAGCGTTCAAGTGATATACTCCGAGCAGAGCTCGATTTGGATCAACGTGAACGATCTGTTGTATTTTTTAAAGTCCGACGACGCGAACGAGGTCAAATTTATCTGGGGAAGCGAGGAATCCGAGTTCCGACACTTGTATCTTATAACATCCAGCATAGCAGGTTTATGATGAGATTACTATTGGGTTGTCCGGAAAGTTTGTGCCGATTTTTGGTAGATGGCGCAAGGACTGGTCTGAATATATCAGAACGATTGAAGACAAATGACATGCGTACATATCGTAAAAGACGGTACTTCAGGCATATTGGGAAAAAAAAGTTTGCTTACGATACGTTAATTTTTGTCAGTTTTATACGCCTTTGAATATGGAAGGAAACAAAGTGCATTTTAGGCATTTAATACTTTTCTCTTAACGGAAAGGCAAAAATGCCACACAAGCGGCAAACAAGATATGCGCTGTTTATGGCGAAGGTGCCTGTAGCTGAAAGAACTGTGCGGGGAAGTGGTTTGCTAGGTTTAAAGCTGGTGATTTCAACCTCAAAGATCAAGAACGCCCGGGTAGGCCCTCCACCACAGATGAAGATCAGATTAAAACACTGATCGAGAATAACCCACGCTATACGACACGTAAATTAGCAGAGATGTTAAATGTGTCAAAATCTACCATCCACGAGCATTTTGTGAAGCTTGGCTGCATAAACCGTTTTGATGTATCCTTCAAAATCGGCACGAACTTTCCGGACAACCCAATATAATCCTCGCTGCGATCGTTTCACTAGCAGTATCGTCACTTGACGCGTTCTTCCTTTCAATGTGCATTTTAAACGTAGGCTTGAGCAATGGAGTGGAAGAGCCCTTGGATAGAATGGACAGTATATTTCTCCGGCCACGTATCACCTCCAAGGTAGCTCTGACGCAGGGCGATTGGGAAGTGCTGGGGAAGAAAATATGGGTCGACGAGGTCAATTCTATCGTCTACTTCTGCGGATTACGAGAAGGCCCGTTGGAACAACATGTTTACGCAGTTTCGCTGCGACGGCCGTTAGAAATACGACTGCTGACTGGACCTAGCTACAGTTACAACAGTATATACTTTAACAAAGAGTGCACAATGTTGGTCACTGTTTTTAGTTCCATTAAAACGTTGCCTACTTGTCAAGTACGTTCCCGATAGGACATGCCCAGCAACATTTAGTTTTACACCGGTAGTAATTTGTTGCGTCCATCTTTTGCAGGTATTTAAAATATCTCAGACCGATTGGACAGTGGACAGCATATCGCTTACACTCGTAGGCTACCTCCTGGAACCACCGACATCCGAACTCGAATTGCTCGCGCCGGAGATCTTTACCCACAAGATCAAGTCGGGAGACACGGTCTACTCGATGATATTTAAACCTCACAATTTCCAAGCTGGAGTCAAGTATCCCACGATATTGAACGTTTACGGAGGACCCGAAGTACAACTTGTATCAAACACATTTAAAGTAGGTATACTCCGTCAAAAACATACGGACGTATGCGTCGTGTGAAGTAAAAAAAATGTATTAATTATCCTCTGCAGGGTTTAAGACATCTACGAATGCACATGTTAGCTGCTCAAGGCTACTGTGTAGTTTCAATAGACTCCCGCGGGTCGCAGCATAGAGGTCTAGTGTTTGAAAGTCATCTGCGACGTAGGATGGGAACGGTAGAGTTGAACGATCAAGTCGAAGTATTGAGATGGTTGTCAGAGACTACCGGGTACATTGATCTAAATCGAGTGGCTCTTCACGGCTGGTCTTACGGCGGATACTTAAGTCTAATAGGTTTGATACAGTATCCCGATGTATTCAAGGTGCGTACAGACTAACGGTTTACCGCATACATTACGTTTTCCTAATTTAAAGTTCCATTAAAAATATATATATATCGTTGCGATTCGCAGCTGGCCATCGCTGGTGCTCCAGTTACCTCGTGGAACTTTTACGACACCGGATATACTGAACGTTACATGGATCTGCCACAGAACAATACTCACGGTTATATGGCGGGATCGGTGCTGACATATGTAAACAAGTTTCCCGACGAAGAGAACCGTTTGTTAATTATTCACGGTCTCATAGACGAAAATGTACATTTTTACCACACTAGCGAGTTGATCAGTGCTCTTGTGAAGATCGGTAAACCGTATCAGCTGCAAGTTTATCCTAACGAGAGGCACAGTCTGAGAAGCCTAGATGCCAGCAAACATTACGAGACGACTTTATTGTCCTTTTTACAGAATCACTTGTGAACCGACATTCTTTTATTTCCGATTTCTTTTCTTACATTGTTAGATAGTTCGTGAGATAATGATCGTTCCTCCGAGCAAGACTTTGCGAGTTTTCGAGCAACTGCCATTAATTTATGTACACACTTAAACCTACAACTTAAAAGGACGAAATACTTTCAGGTGATCAGATATGTGTACTGGTTTCTGTATAAAAGTGCGCCTCCACAAGGCTTTTAAGATAGTATTACATATTTTTTTTAATGTAAAGTATCTGCAACAGCACAGTGTGAATATATCGTGTAACTAATTACCAGGACGAACTTCTAGCAAGGAATTTATAATATACTTTACAAAAAAAAGAGATGTGCTGAATACAAATTTTCAAAACGCCGCTGTCAAGATGCCACAAAATGCGTAATAAGTACATTCAAAGTTTTCTTAATCAGCTATTGTCAAAACTTGCGATCGTAATATTGATTAAATGTGACTACTTTGTAAGAGAAGGGACAATACTCAATTCACAGACAATAGTTAATCAGGAAGACTACTCCGGGCGTGTTTCTGTTTCGCGGTCGTTTCGCAATGCATATTGAACTGTTAGACGTAAACACCACAACTGTGACTATGTACATAATACGATACGTGACCGTGACACATGTATCTCTTATCTTTCTACGAAATGAAAATCCGCGTTTCAGCGAGAAAAGTATTTACGTTCTTCAATGTTGTGAAATAATCGTATATCCGATGGATAATTATTTGTCAATAAACAAATTCATTATTTTATATTTTTTTAAAATAATTATTGCTGTAAGCGGTAGCACGTGTAAATCGTAACTGATATTGTACTCGGTAATTGTGTCACCCGAAACGGAGGTTGCGAGAACTCGGTAGAACGTTCGGGAAGTAATTGAAAAGAAAACGTAGCAATTGCCTATTTGAGAGTTGAATTGCATCAAATTTCGGTCAGAAACGTAAACCAACTCGATCTATTTACGTATTATTAGTTTTACGGTTCAAATATTTATAGAGATAACTTATTCTCTTGTTGAGTTGTTTCCACTTGGTGGGTCTCGCTATCGGATATATGCCCCTGCCCCACATTTTTCTCTTTCTCAGTAAGACTTGGAATTCGTTGCCGCTGACACCTCTCAGCCACGAGGGCATGTTGTAGAGAATTCTCGTGGGATGTACGCTACCCGAGCCCAATATGTCGATGTAGTCGTTCTGACCGTACAGTGCCTTCTTCTCGGACCAGGAGTCCTTCGGCCGATAGATCGGCATCGGAAGTATTCGCCTAGTGTACGTATGCGGTAGGAGGCCTCTCATATCTATGTGTTCCTCGTATCCATAGCGCCGTATGAGGGGACCTTTCGCCAATTTGTCCGCGTGATGGCGAAACCGTATTGGTGCCACCTGTGGGGTCCACGTGCTCACGGCAGCACGGATAGAGTTTACGATCCAAGACATGGATTCTGGAAGGAAAATAAAATACGTGTCGAGAGAGTGATTCTACATAAATCTACGTACCCAGATAACCAAATCTGTCGGAACAGATTTCGCCAAATGCCCGCTACAAGTTTTGAAGGCGGAAAGATTGCAGATTGCATACAGGAACTGATATATTCGATATGTTACCAGCGTGTCAGCAGTAATGCAACCAAATCTGCTCACATAAACTGGACCTGCTCGGTTTCTGCCGACAATCTGTTGACAGTGTATGTTTTACAGACTCTGTTGTCAAAACGAAAGCCAAATGCGGACACAGATGGCTATGGTTTGGGTGTGGGTTTCTGATAATCTCCTCCCCCAATCTACTAACATTTTGCTGACTGGATTTTTAGATTGGCAGCAGATTCGATCAGAAACCAAAACCATATAGCCATCTGTGTTCGCATTTGGCTTTTTGCTCTGGCAACAGAGTCTATAAAACAGATACGCTGTCAACAGATTGTCGGCAGCAATCGAGCAGGATCTGCATAGCGCAGTTTGACAGTAGATTGACGACAGAAACCGAACAGGATCTGCATAGCGCAGTTTGACGGCAGATTGGCAGTAGAAGCTGAGTAGCATCCCCGTTTTTATTTCTTCCATTTTCGTTCCTTTTATTAAGCGTCGTCTACAAGACATGGAGTAAGCTTGGAGTAAAAGAGAACCATAACATTTAGCTTTTGGTGTAAGGAAACTAAAATACAGATATAATTTTAGAACATTTGTAACACTGGCCGATGGCGTTCTGATTCACCGAGAGTAAGCGTAAGAGCTGAGGTAGGAGTAAGAAATAAAATTGATTTATTTTCTTACTCCTACGCCTTACTTCAGGCTTACTCCATGCATTGTAGACTACGAAATACAAAAATGCGTAAGACAATAAGTAGTAAGGCTTCTATCTACATACTCGTAGATAAGAGAGTTCACTTCAGTACCAGAAAGATTAAAGAATCTCATGTGGATATGTTAATTTACAATACCGCGTGTGGTTTCTTTCTTACGAGAAAGTGTCACGCCGCACGTCTATCTAGCGGGATGGTTACGCGTAGTCTACAATGGCAGTAGGAGTAGTGGATTAAAGAAGTAGGCGTTAGACATAGGATGTAGGATTGAAGTCCCTTTACACCCGAGTGTCTATAATGGCGTAGAGTAAGGATCATTTACGAAATGGAATTGAACCATTTTGCTTACAGCCTTCCTCTACAGCTATTGTCTCTCTACAGCTACGATCAAGGTGAAAGTACCTATAGTTGTCGAAGTATCATAATTGATTACATTGGCTCACTCCGACGTTTTACAGCCTTAATCCACTACAAGTTAAGTAAGTCTTATTGTCGCTAGTGATGATTCAAGGAGGGAATATTTTTTAAATAAGTCAACCTAACTGGCAAGAAGTGATCTTTATTTGGTTCACAACGTTTCGACCCTTTAATCAGGTCCCTTTCAAGTGTGTTCTACAAACAATCAGAAATAATTGTGCTGTTATGAATAAAAAGGAAAAGAAAAAGAAAATTTGAGTGTCAATTTTTTAGTATGATCAAGGTGAAAGTACCTATAGTTGTCGAAGTATTGTAATTGATTAAAGGGTCGAAACGTTGTGAACCAAATAAAGATCACTTCTTGCAAGTTAGGTCGACTTATTTAAAAAATATTCCCTCCTTAATCCACTCCTGCCACTGTAGACCGCGCGTAACAACATCGTTACAACATAAATCGCCAGCAAGCAACGGAGTTTGCTATTAATCTGCCGATAAGTTATTTCAGCAGATTCTGCTCGGTTTCTGCTGCAATCTGTCACCACGTTGCGTGAGAACAGGATCTACTCGATTTCTGCCGCCAATCTCCCGTCTAAACATATCAAGCTTTGTTATATTTCTGTTGATGTTTCGCCGACATCATGTGATCAGTTCCTGTATGCGATCTGTAGTCTTCCTGCCTTCAAAATTTATAGTGGCCATTTGATGAAGTGTTCCGACAGATTTAGCTATCTGGGTACTTGGCTCTCTCAAATTTAGATCTTGTCCAGAACTGGTCCGTCTCTATGACAGCAGGATGAAGATCTTATGCAATGTTGACGTGAACGTAATAAAAATCAAGCTGCCAAGGCTCACGTATCTATTACGTGTAAGGCCCGGTCTACAATGAGTTGTCAATCGTTAATTAGAAGTCGGAACTATATGCCGTCCTTGTTCTTTCACCCACAAAGAAAAAGGATTGACACATAATTCTGACATCTGGCTAGCGACTAACGACTCATTGCAGACCAGGGCATTATAGATACCAGAGCTTGGTATCTTGACGTTTTTCATCAAAGATATAAGACGCACTGAACTATTTTTCCGAAGAAAGATATAAATACAGACAACAGTAGTATCTGTAACTATATCTTACAAGAAAAAAAGATACCAAGATCTGATACATGTCTGCTATGTATAACAAATACATAATAAAAATGTATAATGTAGTGAGCAATATATAATAAATATATACCCAACAAGCGGTCCGCCATGCAATTTCTTTCAAGTACGATAAATAAGTTATGTATGTATAAAGAGAAATCCGCACATTTTAACCTAATTTATACGTAAAGTAGCCTAGCTGTCTCGTGTCAAGTTTTTCATGCAGTGTAAGCGACGCTGCGCTTACGAAATTGTGGATCGTCAATGAAATGTTAGTGGCACTTACTTATTTTCAAATGTTAGGTGCGTTAGAACGAGAAATCGTCATTTACAGTCGTATCGTAGAAACCCAATCTCTACGATTTCCCGAACGCAAAAGTTGGGTTATGTATCAGCTGATTAAAGCGCACGCGCAGTTAAATGCACTTGCACGTCTCTCCATGTTTCCGCGCCTCGTTTCTTTTAACCTTATGTCCCAAAATACTTTAATCCTTCTTCCAAAGTATTGGCTTGATGTATAAGTTCGTCCTGTTTTTAAACGTTCGCGCACTTTACATACGAATTCGATTTGCTATTAACTTCACACTTATATGCCGTGTTAAACATTTAAAAGTAGCAATTGAACGGAAACTTTACTCAAAATTGTCGTCGATTGATTGTTTGTGAGTCGTGTAAATTTATATAAAGATGGATAAAAATAAGCATCGCTTTCGGCATATTATGCTTTTTTATTTTCGAAAAAACAAAATTGCTGTTCAGGCTAAAAGAAAAATATATTCTGTCTACGGAGAAAATGCTATTGATGATTCCACTGTTCGTATTAAATGGTTCCGACGATTCCGTAATGGAAATTTTAATTTCACGGATGAGAAACCCAAGGAGAACGAAAAGTCAAAATGATGTCAAGATGATCCAGAGTTTGATCACTGAAACTATATTTTAAAAAACGACTATACACTGACTCGTCATAAAATCATATATTATATAACGATATTTTGACTTTCAGGATTTTAATTGAATATGTGTATTTTCAAAAATAGATTTTTTTTTACAGAAGATTGCCTGGCACTTATTCATTGAAATTGTCTTATACACTGCTGAAAAGAAATATGGAATAGAAAAATTTTATGCAAAAATTGGTCAACTTTGACTGACGGTAACTCCGCGAAAAATCATCGTAAAATTGTTCTTTTTTTTTTAATTAAAGCTTGAAATCTCTACTTTAAGATACTATAGTTCGATTTTAGGTGTGATGCATCTCTATCTGTAACATCTTAAATGTGAGGGCATGTTTGTTATATTGAAAATTACAAAGTTTGACGGAGTGCATGGACTTGCTACATTTTTTTTCGGGGATACTGTTTGCAGGAACATAAAGTACGAATCTTCCTCATAGCAAAATGTCTGCATTAGGGGAGTGTTGAGAGCCGATACATGTTACCGACCGGCATAGGGCGACGACGATATAGATGGCGTAAAAATCGCGAGCGCTGCGTACTTTCCTTTGTATAACCTTTGTAAGTTAGTTGGTGTTCAGTCGTCGAGAGAGAGACTCGACCTAAGTTTATTAAAAGTCTTTCGACGAACACAGTGTCTACGTTTTTACACCCACGCTAGAGCTAACTAGAGCTAACAAAATTGGTCCTTCGAGCCGGATTCGAGGCTCGAATCAAAGATACAGTCCACAAAATACTAGCAAGGATAAGGCGAATCTAGAACAGGCATGGCCGACATCGGAACTCTTCGCAAGCAACGAGGATGGGTCAAGGCAAAGCTGACTCGACTCGAGACAAAGCCAATCAGGTACAAGTGGATTCATTGGATCGAGGAGAGATCGAGGCGTATTTCTCAAGAATGCAGGAAATACGTAGCGAATTCGAAGAAGTACAGAAGGAAATCAGCATCTGCTTGGAAGGTGAGATGAGCATCGCGGACAAGACAGAGGATGAGGAGGTTGAAAATAGATTCATGGCGCTAAAAATCAAGCTAAACCGTTGGGCGAACGGTACGTTAACGCAGCCAGCCGAATCACGGCCGGCAGCAAACGACGATACATTGACGCGATTATTGCTGCAGCAAGGCGAAATCTTAAGGCGCATGAGCATGCGAGACGACAACACGCAGGTGTCGGACAGTAACGGCAACGCCATTACAAAACTATTCGAGCAACAGACGCAATTGCTGCGTGATCTCGCGGGCGGAAACAGCAGTCAGGAATCTCAGGTTAAGTTACCGGCTGTAAAACTTCCGACATTCGACGGACGAACGGAGGAATGGAATCGCTTCTCTGAGACGTTCAATTCCATGATACACTCGAACAAAAGCATTCCTGACATCCGAAAATTCCAATATTTGGTCACCTCTCTGAGTGGGAACGCGGCTAAGATTATAGAATCCATCGAACTGACCGACGCGAATTACAAGGTTGCATGGGACCTACTGAAGAGGCGATTCGACGACCCGAGGGCAATAAAGAAGAAACAC